ATAATAAACCTGATTTGGTAAGCCATTCCTCAACATTAGTCATAGCAGAAGTCAAAGTAGTCAAAGCTTTTTCAAAGTTATTGGGCATGGGTAAAAATTGCTACATCATCTACATACAACTGAACATTTACATCTTTACATACTCCAGGTAAATCATTAATATAAAGTGAAAATAAAATTGGTCCCAAGATGGAGCCTTGTGGAACCCCCTTGGGGCAAGCAAGGTATGAAGACTTTGTACCATCAATACACACACATTGTTTTCTATTTGAAAGATACAATATTATAAAGTATAGCCTCTTCCGAAAAATTAATGATGGCCAAAAGTGTCAAATGCCTGTCTTAAATCTAAGAAGACAGCACCAACACACATTGTCAGGGCTCTGCCCTGGCAGCTTTGTCTGTGTTGTCTTTGTTTAATGTTTCTTTGTTTGTCTTGTGTTTTCACACATTGTTTTGTCTTTGTTTATGCTTGCCATGTGTTCCTGTGGTCCCACCTCCTTGTTTCCCTTGGTCACGCCCACTTGTTTAGGCCTTGTCTTGTCCTCGTTTCTGTAATTGGGCTCACCTGTCCCTCGTGTACTTTCCTCCCTTTATATTGTGCTGTTTTTCCTCTTGTGGTTGCTGGTTCTTTTTGTGCCATAGAGATAGTTACTGACTTACTGCGCTATATTCCAGTCTTTCCCTGCTATTGTGTATCCTTGTTGTAGATTATGCTTTTGATTTTTCTATCTTCTGATTTTGGTTTTGTTCTTTAGTGTCTTGCTTAAATTTACTTGTAATTTATTTAGTAGTTCATCAATCTTGTTTCTACTCCTGAGCCGTTTAGATTTTATACTTTGGTTGTTTTTTTTTTTGTCTAAACCTAGATCTGCTGTTCTCTGCTCTGGTTTTCTCCCCATCCTTCCGCCCTGATTTGACCAACGAGTGAGACTACCCCAGACTGTTTACCTCTCAGGGCATTGATCTTTCCCTGCTGGTTGGAGCTGTCCCAAGATTGTCCACCCCTGTGCTGTGAACTTGTGTCTTCAATAAATCTTGTTTCACTCATTCTGCGTTTGGGTCCCTTCCTGTTGACCGTGACACACATACTCTTATCTAACAAGCATTTGACTTTCTCAACAAAGACAATTAGCTGATTCTGCTGAATAATTACTGCGAAAACCAAACTGCATTGGATGTAAAGAAGTAAAACTATTATTTAGATTAGTCAGAAGCTTAGCTACCTATGAGGCGCCACGTAGGATTTAAATCAAACTTCGTTTATCAATACATAAAACACGTGCATATACACCTATAAATTACTCACATATACATGTATACTATTGGCTGTTCAAAAATACATATATGAAATACACGTGCACACTAATATGAAATCCATGCCAATACATTATGTTAGTAATGACTGCATATACACTTGTGAATAACTTGCGTATACATACAAAGTTGACGCATGCATACACCTATAGACACTCGCTTATACGTATAAACTCGATCCGTGCATATACACCTACAACACCACACGCACATACATATAAACTCGCTGCATGCAGACTCACCTATACATACTCGCATATACATATAAACTTGGTCCATGCATATACACCTAAAAACACTTGCACATACATATAAACTCGCTGCATGCAGACACACCTCACCTATACATACTTGCATATACATATAAACTTGATCCATGCATATACATCTATTAACACTCGCACATACATATAAACTTGATGCGCGCATACACATCCATAAAAACACTCGCGCATACATACAAAATAAAATTCACTAACGTATACAGTTCAGATAAGACGTATGCTTTAGTTGTGTACATATATGGGTGATTCTTAGACTATGGGCACTTTTATGTTCTTTGGTCATATTTATAAAAATACTTGACAAAAAGTGGGGACGCAACTTTAAAATCTTATTAAACATGCATGTATCATTAAAAAACAACCTTGCTTTGATAGGAGATATTATTAAGTGTTGCTTTTGATAAAACAAGCTCTTTTTCATCATTAAAAATTTTTTTTAAATTGATTTTATTGCATATGAATGATTGAACCCTTCTCTGTGGACACACTGTTTTAGTTGTAGTGAGAGGACATTAAGAAACATAGATTTGGTATAATAATGAGAAAATTAAATTTAAGGTGATAATTGTGTTAAATACATTCTATTATTTATCCCTCATGACATTTAAAATTGAAAATATTTTTATTTTTAAACCTAATAGCAGTTACACTTGCTGGACCTGTTTTGTCCCATGTCTCAAGAATGACTGTTTTTTATTTTCGTGTGCAAGTTGCAATGAAGACGATATAGTCGATTTCTTTAATAGCGCATTACAGTGCCTAACGCGTATACAGCAAGAGCCGAGAGAGACACTTTATCGAGATTTAGATAACCATGCTAGAACAATTAACAGTCTTTTGTCCGTGGTTTGTTATTATCAAAATGCCGAAACCAGAGAATGCATCGTTATTCTCGAGACGCTGTACCACACACTGCGCCAAATCACGCATCCGCTTGATATTGGAAGACCTGCTGGAGCTAGACTAAGAGCAGTCCCACCACCTACATCTATCACAGGCCACAGAGGTCGTCCGAGATATGACATTTCGTATGCACAACTGTGCCATTGTCTGCGGCTTGGGTTTAACTGGCAGGGAATAGCATCCTTATTAGGAATAGATCGCCTCACTTTGTTCCAGCACAGGCAGCGTCTTGAAATCAGACCGATGGAGTTTGCAGAACTGTCTAACTATGAGTTGAACACACTTGTCAGACAGATTTTGCAAAGAACCCCAAATGCAGGCGAGACCTACATTCTGGGTAGTCTCCGGTCTCGCTCTATCCGCATCCAGCGTTGGAGGGTGAGACAGTGTTTACATGAGATAGATCCTATTGGAAGGTCACTCGGGCGCCGACGTGCTGTCAGAAGAAGAATTTATTCTGTGCAAACTCCTAACCAACTCTGGTATGTCCAGCAGTTATTTGACAACTTCATTAAAATATCCCTTAAAATGAACTAATATTAATGAATTAAGTATGGTATTTATGTTGTAATATAAATCATCCCGCAAAAATCATGTAAGCAACACTTTTACTAAACGATGGTTAATTTTCCTATTCCACGTGACATTATAAAACAATTAGAACAGTACAATTAAACACTTAAAAAATATAAGCTACTAATGAATTATCTCTCTTAACAGGCATATAGACGGAAAACATAAACTGGTCAGATGGAGGCTGATTTTCCACGGGTGTGTTGATCTTCAACCAGCCTGGCGCTGTCGGCAATGCTTCTTAATGGCCTTAGACAACCTGCGTTGGCAAGGTAGTCCATAATGGGCTCAGTTGAGTGTTGTAGCTCTTCAAGAGTTGTGGCTTCAGAAACCTGTATGTGAGCAAATGGCATGTGCATTTCAAATTTAAGTTAGAAATATTTCAGAGAAAGTTTTCTATAAACAATATTGTTATACTAAGCTATGGCTTTTATAAATGGAACACATTTTTAAGTAAATCTGAGAAAGCATGATGGTATAAGTAAATGAAACGTTTATACTGCAGTTTTAAGCAAACCTTTTTGATTTTATTATAAAGCTCGCAGTCAGCTACATCGTCCAAGACAGGTATGCACATGTCTGGCCCCTGAACTAAACTGTCAAATAGGGTCTTAGAGAAACAACCCGGTGCAGGTCCTCCATGTACAAGGCTGACTGCAACTGCTCTCCCTGCTATGAAATACCTGTTCTCCCTGATGGCTGACATAAAATTAGAGAACACATGTCAATACAACAGCCTTCACAGATCCTTAAAATCACAATTATGCAATGTAGAATAAAAGTTCTCAAATCTGTACAACAAACAGCACAAATATAATGTATACCTTGGGAATCAAGAGCCAAGTTGAGACTGTCCTCTTTTCCCTCAAACATTGATGACTGCATTAGTGCCACCAGGAGTAGCCGTAAAAATTCTCGCCTTGGACCACCCAGATCAATAGCCTCTTCATACTTTCCTTTATCATCAGAAAACCTGATCACCATTCTGTTATTTGGATTGTATGAGAGTCTTGTAAATCCCCGTACAGCACCATCCAGCACAGATGCACGGTTGATATTAAACTTGCAGGTTTGATTGGAGTTTATTTTTGTTGCAAGTTCTTCCAATATTTGCTTGATGGGGATTTCCACAGCAGGGGGGATTCTGAAGTAGTACAGGTTTTATTATTAAAATTTCATTATAATACAAAAACATATAAAATAATATCAATATATCATGTGTTACACAAAAGGGCTGCATGGTAGGGAATGTGTATTCCAATCACTATTAAATCAGACTGATTGAAAAAAGGTGCAAACTCTGCAGGAACTTAGTGAGTTGTCATGTTTTTCCATAGACTGGTAAAACTATTTGTAGTTAAAAAGGTTATGTTTTTGTAATCAAATTCTACAATTATATACATTTTGTAGTTTTGGAAGAGAACAACACATTGTTAAGTGAAGTTACAATGACTGAATCCTCTGTTTAGTAACAATGCAACTACTGGAATGAATCAGTAAACAAGGTGTAACCAACATTTATGGTAAGAAAAAAAAATTATTGGTGATGTCAAAAAATTAAAATAATTGAGAATCCTATCACAACTGAACTGAAATATCAATAATAAAGGTAAATACAGTTAAAGGAAATGGTGTACTTTGTAGTGTAATGGTCTGATACATGTCCAAAATTTTGAAAATTAAAATTTTGATTTTAAATTAGAATTAGACTGAATAACTGAATAATACTCACGTCTGGTCCTCAATGCTTGCCATTATGGCACAGCAAAGATCTTCATCCTCTTCCTCATCTTCAGACGCTGCCCGAATAAGGGAAAGGTAGGTATCATAATCACCATCCCAGGAAGCAGATCTGAAGGACTGGTCATTGTGCCAACAATGGGCTGGTGAGTTATGTCTTGTGCAAGGCTGGCCACTGGCAGAGGACTGCACACCGATGGAACTGGCGGAGAATTGAGCTCTTGTGGAGGATTGAACTCTGGTGGAGGACTGCGCAACGATGGAACTGGTGGAGAATTGAGCTCTTGTGGGGGATTGAACTCTGGTGGAGGACTGAAAAGTAATGCTGTAAACTGAAAACTAAGAAGAAATGAGGTAATGTACATTAGACAAAGACCAAAAGTGCTAGGAAAGTCAAAAGCTCTTAATGCATTGTGTTGCCTTCTTGAGCATCAGTAAATGTTTTCACCTTTTGTAATAGTTGTGTAGTCCCTCAGTTGTCCTCAGTGTGAAAATATGGATCTCAAAATCATACAATCACTGTTGGAAAGGGTTCAAATATACAGAAGATGCTGGAAGACCAAAGAATGTGCAGGAGCTGAAGGATTTTTCTGAAGAACAGCAGGCAGTTGAACTGCTCAGGACCAACAAAGAGACTCATGAACAACTATCACAAAATACAAAAACAGTCGACACACAGTATTAAGATTGAAGGGTATGTAATCTTTTTTGAATGGGGTCATTTTCATAAATTCAGTTATTATTTTGTCTTGTGGAGTATATGTAAACATCTGTTATGTGAAATAGCTTATTCAGGACAGTACTAAATAAAAAATAACATGCAATTTTCATGATCCCTCGTGTTTTGTTTCAATTATTAACATTTTGCACATTCTGCAAACTAAACTTATGAGCACAACTGTATATGGCCTAAAATAACCCTAAACCCTATAAGGAAGCCCATATGGAAAAAAATAAAAATAAATTAAACTTCATAAAAAAAAAACACCAGTCTTACCAAGAGTAGTGGTCTTGAGGATTTTACGTATAAGGCCTTCAACTTGAATACCTTTAAAATCAAGCTGCCATCCAGTTCCTGACCTTCACTTAACTTAGGTGTAATGAGCTTGTTGCCACATCCCATAAGTATTTCCAAACTGCACATAATGAAAACCAGTGGTACTAATACACCATCAAATAATACATCACACAGTAAAACATTTACAATAACTATAACTTCTTTACAAAAAAATTTAAAACATATTTACCTTACATCAAGTGGCACTTTTTCTTTGAAGCCTTCTTTGATTTTTCTTAAAACCGTTGTACTGTCCCATGCTTTGTCAAATTCAAAAGCATTTAATATGTGTCCAATCTCATGCAAGTGCTGTTTTTTCTTTTGCTTTACTACGGCATTATCGTCAGGGGAGGTCAACAGTATAACATCCTTATTAAAGGTCCCATGGTATTGTGTCCTTGGCCTGTAAAAACAAACACAGCTTAACAAAAAGCAAACTTTAATTAACAGCATTTATCATAAATTACTTGACATCCTTAGTTCTGAAAATGGCTAAGCTCACTAGTGGGACTGGGACTTTAGTTGGGAAGACATTTTATACTTCTTAACTATAGAGGCAGGAAATTGTACTCTGTCTGTCTGTCTCTGTCTGTCTGTCTGTGTCTCTGTCTGTATCCGTATCTGTGTGTGTGTGTGTCCCAGTGCCAGAGCAGATTTTTTTCTTACTTTTTCTAGATCGAGACTGCCAATTACCATACTGCTGGCGAGTGTGATATCGTGGTCCGTGAACTTCGCCGGCGGATTATGTTGGCATTGTTTGCCTGTTATTGATGCTTTGTACACCAGGCGTCGATGGCCGAAACAAAGTGCGCAATTCAGATTCTGTTTCTGACTGCAGTTGAGCAGAAGGCGACACATTGGATTCAACTGAAATAGCAATTGATCTTATAATAGTGGGCGAAGCAAGAACATTTTGCAAACTGCTAATTGCTTCAGTTGTACGATCCCTGTCCATGATTGCAAATGCGGCAATTACACAGGTTACTTCTGTTTACGCTAGGGATGGGCGATACCCCTTATTTTGTTTTCGATACGGTACCGATATTTTTCAAGGCAGTATCGTCGATATCGATACCGATTCGATACTTCTGCACTAGAAAATAGTTCTATCCTACACAATTATTCGCTAACAAAGGTTATTCGTCCAATTCAATGCATATTGTACGCATTATTATTATTATTATTATTATTATTATTATTATTATTATTATTATTATTATTAAATAAACAAAACCACTGGTAAATAAAACGCACCTTAGTATCGATATTTTTTGTTTGAGTATCGATACTTTCGATACTCGCGTCAGTATTGATATATCGATACTTCGGATCGATACGCCCATCCCTAGTTTACGCTCAAACGACTTCCTTTTAAACTGAAATGCCTTCCGTTTGCACTGAAAAGTTCACGCACATCCACATATGAAATCACTTGCATATATATGTATGTACACAACTAAAGCATACGTCTTTCTTACCTGAACTGTATACGTTAGTGAATTTTATTTTGTATGTATGCGCGAGTGTTTTTATGGATGTGTATGTGCGCATCGAGTTTATATGTATGTGCGAGTGTTTATAGGTGTATATGCATGGACCAAGTTTATATGTATATGCGAGTATGTATAGGTGAGTCTGCATGCAGCGAGTTTATATGTATGTGCGTGTGGTGTTGTAGGTGTATATGCACGGATCGAGTTTATACGTATAAGCGAGTGTCAGCAGGTGTATGCGTGCGTCAACTTTGTATGTATACGCAAGTTATTCACAAGTGTATGCATTCATTACTAACATAATATGTATTGGCATGGATTTCATATTAGTGTGCACGTGTATTTCATATATGTATTTTTGAACATCCAATAGTATGTATATGTGAGTAATTTATAGGTGTATATGCACGTGTTTTATGTATGTATTGATAAGCGAAGTTTGATTTAAATCCTACGTGGCGCCTCATAGAATAGCCTTAGAAATCATGTATACTGTGCCCATACGTTACCACCACAGATGGCATTCAGTTGTCAGTTGTGTGATTGTGCTGAGCTTTCTTCAGAGAAAGATTATTTTGTTCACATAGGGACACACCTTAAAAATGGTCAGACTTGTAGTTGTGCATTTCTAGGCTGTAGTTTTGAGACCAGCCTCTATGGTCCGTACTATTCTGTTCAGATGAGCAGGAAAATAGTTCTATCCTACACAATTATTCGCTAACAAAGGTTATTCGTCCAATTCAATGCATATTGTACGCATTATTATTATTATTATTATTATTATTATTATTATTATTATTATTATTATTATTAAATAAACAAAACCACTGGTAAATAAAACGCACCTTAGTATCGATATTTTTTGTTTGAGTATCGATACTTTCGATACTCGCGTCAGTATTGATATATCGATACTTCGGATCGATACGCCCATCCCTAGTTTACGCTCAAACGACTTCCTTTTAAACTGAAATGCCTTCCGTTTGCACTGAAAAGTTCACGCACATCCACATATGAAATCACTTGCATATATATGTATGTACACAACTAAAGCATACGTCTTTCTTACCTGAACTGTATACGTTAGTGAATTTTATTTTGTATGTATGCGCGAGTGTTTTATGGATGTGCATGCGCGCATCGAGTTTAAATATGTATGTGCGAATGTTTATAGGTGTATATGCATGGATCAAGTTTATATGTATATGCGAGTATGTATAGGTGAGGTGAGTCTGCATGCAGCGAGTTTATATGTATGTGCGAGTGTTTTTAGGTGTATATGCACGGATCGAGTTTATACTTATAAGCGAGTGTCTATGTGTATGCATGCGTAAACTTTGTATGTATACGCAAGTTATTAGTGTAAGTGTAAGTATAAGTGTATATGCATTCATTACTAACATAATATGTATTGGCATGGATTTCATATTAGTGTGCACGTGTATTTCATATATGTATTTTTGAACATCCAATAGTATGTATATGTGAGTAATTTATAGGTGTATATGCACGTGTTTTATGTATGTATTGAAAAGCGAAGTTTGATTTAAATCCTACGTGGCGCCTCATAGCTACCCATTTTTCTGCTGCCTTAGATATAATCGGAAGGATACTAATTGGCCTATAGTTACTCAAATTATTTTTATCTCCAAATTTATAAATTGGGGTAACTGCAGCCACCTTCCAAGCTGATGGAACAACTGCTTGCCTAAAGGACAAATTTACCATATGTGTTATTGGGCCTACTAAGGAATCTTTATTATATTAAAAAAATAAAATTGTATCAAGTCCATATGCATCCTTTGCTTTAGAGCTTTTTAATGCGTCAATAATATTAGCTACTTCTAATTCAGTTACTTCCTCTATTTGAAAAATCGGTTGGGCACAATTAATAGGTCTATAAGTAATATATTTTAAGGTAAAAAGCTGGGTTATTCCGTCAACTGAATAAAAAAAAATGTATTAAAATTAGTAGCTATAGTTAATGGATATTTTACTAAAATAATATTAATTTTAAGTTTAAAACTTTTATCCATATTCTTTTGTTTTCCAACTAGTTTATTAATAGTTTGCCAGATTTTTTCCCCATCCCCTTTCGATCCCTCAATTATATCCATAAAAAAAACTGGCTTTGGTCTTTCGTAAAATCTGGATTACTTTATTCCTCATAGAAGTATATTTATAACGATTAGTAATAAGACCAGAATTCAATGATTTTTTTTAAGGAGCTGATCTCTATCCTTCATCAATTTCCTACATTCATTATTAACCCAGGGCAGTGTATTCCCTTTTCTTTTTATTAACCGTCCCCTTTTAGTAAGCAACTCAAACACTTCTTTAATTTTTCCCCCAAAATAATCACATCCTCCCTCTATGTCCCCACTTAGGAGGACTTCACTCCAATCTGTCTCTTTCAAAGCTATTCCAAGATTTTGTTGCTGATTTTTAGGGACTATATCCTGATA